TACACGTAAAAATGGCGTAAATGTTTTAAAACTTGCATCAAAGTTGTTATGAAGTATTTGCCCAAGCCAGGAAAAGGAGCAGCCATCACAGCTCGGTGCACATAGACACATAACAAACACACACATATACATACATACGTGCACACACAGTCTTGCTCATGTGAAAAAGTCAGAAAGTCATTTAAGAAATTGCAACGTTTGCAGAAAGTCACAAGAAATTAGCTGCAACATGTTCGGGTTTAAGCCAAATTTAACCTCTAGTTATATACTGTTCGTGTACATATCTGGTATGTGGGTGTGTGCGTGTGTGTCTGGTGTGCAAAACAAGTTGACATTCGACAGTGGCATAAAATGGTTAAAATAAATTCAATTCAAGGAAACTAGAAATGCAGCATAGTGCAAGTTTTCGGTAAATCGATCTAACAGCTAAAAAATGTTAAATGTGAGTTCTATGATTGTGTATCGAATTTTTTAGACAATACTTTAACAAATAAATTAAATAAATATACTTTACTTTTAATAATGAAATTTTTTAATAAGCTAACAAGTATAATGCTTGTAAAAATATTTATAGTTTTCAATATTTGAATATAAGTTTATTCGAAATCACAATAGCTGATCTGATCTGATCTGAATCTCTTAGGCTTTCAGTTTGTATTATAATTTTACAAAAAAACTCCACTGTGGCATGGCACCGCCTTTTTGCCAGCACATTTACGTCGCATTGTAAACCTGTCTGTAGTTTTGGCTTGGGGCCAATTCATGTCAGTTTTTGGGTACGAAATAAGCGTAGTTACCCATGTGTATTTGTGTGTGTGTGTGTGGGTGGATGTTTACTCTCCTGGATAGACTGAGGTGTAGACAGGTAGCTGACGCTATGCCTGTCGGTGTCCATGTCTGTGTGTGTTTGATAGGCACAGCTCATTTGGACTGTGCCGTGACTGCTGTTTTCTTTTAGCCACTGCATGAAATTATGGTCATGCCCCTTGGCAGTTGTGGCATTATTAAGAAATGTTCGTTCTGTTCTTGGTAAATGCCAGGCTATGAAGCAAGTACATTTTCTGCGTGGCTGTGAGTTTGTCAGATTGTAAGATAGCAAGATAAAAGCCTGTAACACGAAGAAACTTAACATAGCTTTGTAAGTTTTATGCTGCCCGAGTTGCAATTTTACCTTAAGCTGCGACTTGTGGGGGGACTGAGATATATGGGAGAAGCAAATCTTTACTTGTAATTAAGTAACTTCAGTTGTATTATTGTTTACATTCAGTGCTTAAAATAATAATTACATTTAACAAGAACAATGCCAGTTAAACAATGAAAATAATTAAATTTACGATTTTCGATCTGCAGCTGTTTTGTGCGCTTTAATTAATAAAACGCAATTAAAACTACAGCCAAGTTAATATTTCTCACAAGCTTATTGACTCAAAGACAACACACATGCACAGCAAATAGTTGACTCATATGCACAGCTCTATGCTAATGATGTCTGCCCTTCTACGTGTGTGTGTGAGAATGTGTGTGTGAGCTCCTCTAGTCGCATCCGTTGATTAAATAGTCGTTTATTAAATGGTAATTGCATCCAAGTTAAATCAAACGAGTGCCAGCATGCTCGAAGGCGAAAGGAGCTGAAGGACCCAAGTTTAATTGAGATTTAATTGGAATGTAATTAAAATTAATAATGCCTTAATATAAAGTGTAAATTGCGAAAGCTTTTGTCCTTCAAGGCCATTGACGTCAATTACAAAAACAATGATCGCATTAATTCACAGCAGAATAATGTGTGAGAGTATGCGTGTGTGTGTTTGTTTGAGTGCGTGTTGAATCATTTAATTAATGCGTGCGACCACACGGCGTATGGGCAATTTCTTTTATTTTGCACAGTCTATTCAATCAAGATGAAGCAATATATACGATATTTTTTACAAAAGGAGTAGAATGTTCACATTTTTTAAATGTATATTCTGACCATATATTAAGATTGAAAATATATCAATTCTAAAGAAGTGACATCTATTTAAGTACATTACTGCCATTGATTGCCAAGTATAGTTTTATTACAATCAATTTTATTACAATCAATCAATAACACAGTTAACTCTGAATAACTGGCAAATAAAAATGAGACAATGAGGTGATCATAAATGCGCCGTCATTTGTAACTCCTGACGTCAACTAAATCATCCGCCATTTCCCACATGCTTTGGGTCAGCCCTGGAACTAATTAGGACAACACATGTTGAACGGCCCACATCTCGCATGATGAATGCTCCACAAATGTGGAAAAGGAAAGACCATTAGTCACTTGAATGCTGTGTTAAAGGGACACTATGCTGCACAATGTGTCCTGTCACAGGACATATAGGTGGTCAGCTGCTGGGCCGGATGCTGCTTAATGGCCATCGTGCTGCTATTTCGCAGTTGACTTCAGATATATAAATAAACAGGATGACTAACTTAATTAGTCATGAAGATGTCCTTTGATAAATAATAAAAGAAAAATGAGTTTTTGTATAAGCTCTGCAATTGCCTTCTTATTTGGGAAATTTGAATGAAAAGAGCACGAAGATAAGTGGAGATAAAGATGAATGTAAATATTTGTTAAGCTTAATTTGTTGGGAATTGCGCTCACAGCATTTTTTCTCCACATTCATGTTCTTATCATAAAATGGATTGAGCCTAAAATATAAGTTGTTTGAATGTTTATCGCGATTATCAGATGCAGGGATGTATATTTGAATATTTATCACCTTAGACCCAATTCAATTGAATTGTCAATGTCTGCGAAAATAGCCCGACACTGTGTAAATCTCCAGCGAGGCATTCAGCAATTTCACGTTTCATCAAAGTCAGACGACAGGTTCAGGGATTCAAATTCAGCTGGAGGCGATCCGATAGCCACATGCAGTCGACAGTCGAAATCCGATGTCAACTTTGATGATTTTCATGGTCATTTTATATGTGACTGTCAGACGTGCACAGTGGGGCAAGTACTATTATTATTATTTTTCAGGCTGGTGTCAATACCATGAATGACGGCAAGTTGAATGCAAATGCCGCATCCATCATACAGAGTATGGGGAATTTAAAGAAATTTGCAAAAGTTTCGAGTCTCATTGACATTCATATTTCATATGCGCCATTCGTCACTTTTACATGATTAATAACTCTTGAATATTCATTAAAAATCAACATCGTGTCGTTTGTTCTGTTTACGGAATTACATATATTGTATTGGCGCCGGAGTCGAATAAATTAAATGTCAACATATGCCATTGAATTTGTCCACTTAATCACGTTGTTACCGCTTCAAGAGTCAGCGAGGCTTAACGATATTTTTATCCTTGTGGCAGGACGATAATAAATGAAGATTCAGTGCAGTCCACAGAGTATTTCAGCCGTTCTTTGCCGCTTATTTACAGAATTTTAATCCCTCCTCGTAATATTAATCAAACATGCAACTCAAAGTGTTGTAAAATTATATTCAATTTTTACGGTTTTGTTTTAATGGATAACACAGAGGTACAATAAAATAGGAATTTTATGTTTTTAATTTATTGCGCATATTTCTCCAAGGAATAAAAAATATAGCTTTAATGTGGATGTGGATTAATAATATTGTTGAATATTTGTTTACATTTGCCTATTTATATATGCTGCATACTTTGCTAAGGGCTTAACATTTTATAAAAATATACATTTTTTGTTACCGCCCACAACAATATTCTCTCATTCTAAATATTTTTCCATCCCCCCTCCCCCCTTTCTCACGACCAACATAAATATTTGAGCTCTGTATGTTAATACAACAGTTAAATAAGGCAACAAAACATATGTGAACAATGCGGATAAATATCAACAGACTACAATTCCAAAGCCGCCACATAAATGGTGGAAAACAAAAGCAAAATTTTAAACAAATACGCATACGTTAATGCAAAATAAAAGCCAATATGGATACACAAACAGTTAGTGTGTGTGCCTTTTAATCGTGCGTGTGAATTAGCCCACTTAGCATAGGCGACACGGGCCATTTTGTGGCATGGGGGCTTCCTGCACAAACAAATAATGCCAATAGGACAGAAACAAAATGCTAGATACTGAACAAATAAACAAACAAAAATGAATCGTCTGATCAAGCGCACTCGATTAGTTAATACCCTTTAGTCCTTTGTAAGGTATCTGACTCACTACTTAAATGTTTAAATACGTGTCTACAAGTGCACATGTAGCTGAAGACTTTTTGGATATAACACCTTCAGAATATAAATGTCTAACTAATACACGATAATATTGCACTTAAATGAAGTTAAGAATCAGACTTTATTATATCGGAAATTGATTGAACAAATACTCATTGCATATATAAAAATATACAAGTTATTTTAATATGTTATTTGAATACACATTCTAAAAAGTATCCATAAATTGTATTAATCTACTATAAATAACAGAGCTAATACCTTTTTGGTAGATTTTGGATACAGTACGAGTAATTTCTTTGGCTTCTTAAGACTCTGATAGATCTATACAGAAGCATATATAGCAAGGCTTGAAGCGATATACACATTTGATTCCGACAGGGTATCGCAGCCAACTTAGAAGTAAAACGTGCAAATTTAATTGCTAATATCCGTGAATGTTTGCAAGTCATGAAAATGTAGAGTCAAAGATTGTTTGATATTCGATATCTCGTATCTGTTGCAAAGGCCCAGAACAGAGATTGATATTTAATGAAACTGCACATCACCGGGACGCGCTCTACACAAAGTCCAAAACGCCAACTGCAGCGATTAATGAATGTGTCGAAGTAATTGAGTTTCGACTGATGCCATGCCCGGTTCAGCAGACACACAGTGGGGTTGTCTTTATTGCCTGTGCATAATTGACGCTTTGATGTATTGCCAGCAATGTTTTGCTGGATTTGTAAACCGTTTATCATGCTTCAATCCAGCCAACGCGTCGTATACTTAATATGTTTTTATTGAACATTTGGTTTCGGACTCGATAACAGTTTTTGTTTGCTAGCGCTAATTTGTACACAAATTAACAAAATCGATTTAACAAACACTGTAAAATCTACGCAATAGCAAAATTTGAAATTTGTAATGTTCATGAATTTTCAATTGCTTTCAAATTTTGCCAAGTTTTATTATGTAATCCAATGGGCCTTATATTAAAGATTTGCTATGATATATGACACACACACCCACACATGTACTTTTTTAGTTGTGAATATAATAACTATTTAGCTTTTCGTTTCAGTTTCTGTATGACGACCAGTATGAACTCCGTGTTGAGGGACACGTGCACCTCATGTGTTTCGGAGCGTAAACGCATAAAGGTCACATCGTTAGCCGGATCCAAATCCCTTACCACATTGCGTGCCATTGTGGCCAACGGCTTCAGAAGGGAGGCATAATTATATGTGCGCCTCTGGCTAACTGTGGAACGGATTGGCTTGCCCACCGGATCCATTATAATAATTTCGCGTGCACCTCGTTTCTCAAAATGTTGCACGAATGCATCGCCATCGTAGGCTTGATGCTGGCTATAAAGCATTACATATGGATATTTAACTTAATATCGAATTGACGGCTACAATGTACAACTTACCCAGATGGAGTACTGGAACGTGACTTTTGGCTTACACGTCTCGAGTCCGTCATTTAAAATTATTTTTTTATTGCCCTTCAATTCTGTTTAACGGCTTTGTTTCGTAGATTTTGTAAGAAAACTTCTCAATTGTGTTACGAATATTCACAGATTGTGCACAATAAATATTTATTAATATTAGTATATGCTTTGCCTGCTTCGATCCTTACATTTTTTCAAACGTATCGATATTTGCTCTCCACCAATTAACTAAATGCGAGGACAGAAATAAATGAAATTCTATCATACATTAGATACGTATCGCATTTCTGAGAACTCTTAAAAGCATTACTTGGAAATGGCAGGCAGAAATAAAAGTCAAATAAAATCGTTTAAAGAAACCCAAATAAATACATTTTCTTGTTGCGTAAAACTAGCCAAAGATATGTTTCTGCAAATATATAAGTACGATACGATTTTATTAAAATGAGGCAAATATCGCAATTTTTCTAGAGGGGAATGCGTCCTCGTAGATAATCCATGGTGGCCGCGGTGCCCATAGCTAAAATTTGATGACGTGGCTGACGGAACGGATTCCCAGACAATTTCAATTCCGTTATATTTGTCATTTTACCCAACACGGGTGGCACAAGCTGAATATCGTTGTTGCTTAGATCCAGCACATTGAGCTGGCTCAAAGCGCCGAGTCCATCTTCGGTGGCATCCAGCTCCTTAATTTGATTATCGTTGGCGATGAGCGTTTCGAGGTTTTCCAACTCGTAGATGCAGCTAGGCAAGTGATCCAGGCGATTGTGCGATATGTTCAATTCGCGCAGCATTTGAAGACCAGCAAATTCCATGGGCAAACCACGCAGCAAATTGCACGACAAGTTCATAACGTTAAGCCGCGAAAACTGCGATATGAACGTGGGTATATAGGAGAGCTGGTTTTTGGCCAGAACCAGCTCGGTGAGTAGCTCGTTCATTTTGTAGAGCTCAGTCGGCACATCAGTCAATAGATTGTCCTCAAGTCTAACAACATTGACCTGCTCTTCGCAAGCTGTGTCAATGACATTTTCCGGCAGATTCTTCAGCTGTGCCTTCTCGAGACTCAGAACGCGTGTGTTACGCATCATGTACTTGTCAGGAAATAGTGTCCCTAACTCTGGATTTTCTTTTTTCCCGCCTTGATGGCGGGGACTGTTTAAACCATCACCGACCATTATTATCGAAATGAAAGAACAACAAAAACAGCTGCTCACAACTTGAAATCGGAATTTTATAGGATTAAAACGAATTGGAGCTATACAAATGTCAACGAATGAAATATTAATGAATTTTTCAATTCAATTTTAGACTAAAGTTATATGTGAATACATTTTCGAGGCTAACATGTTATTCCAAATACAATTGCTTTGCACGTTGAATTTTTGGTCGCTGAATATATATATATTTATAATCCAAATATAAGGTTATTGTACGCTCGAAGTATCTTAAATACTTTTTGCAACTTAAGCGAAGAAAATTGAGTGGTAATAAGCTTTTTAATGCAAATATATTACGCCTGCTATTGGTATTTCATTAACTTTGGTGCTTAAAGTCCGACCTTTAAGAGAACCTTAAGGGCTTAATTGTATCTCCTAAATGTGTGCATAAGCCAACGTTGGCTCATGTTGAGGGAGGGGCGGCTTTCCGAAAACATTTTGCTGACAGTTATAGAGGTATATCAAATGCGGCGAAATGGCAAGGGTTATCGATAGTTGAGCTTGTGGATTAATGCATACTTGCAGACTGACGGATGGGCGGATATTTCTAGCTCGGATACTGATGACATATGGGTTCGGAGAAGCCTCTTGCTTTGACCTGTTTGCATAAAAACATTCATAAAATTAACATTCAATTTTATATTGAGCTTATCTTGAATTTCTAAAAAGATTACATCTAGGTAGCAAAAAAGTCATTTCAATAACACATGCATAGGGACGGGCCTGAGTAGCTGAAGGCTGCCCCTATCGGAAATTTGCACATACGCATATTCAATTGGGCTCATGTTCAAAGCACGCCACAGTCTTTGAGGACAACCAGCTCATGCTTTTTGGCCAAGTGCGCGGTGGCATCCTGAATGCGTTCGAGCAGCTGCAGACCCTTGCGGACCTTGCCAAAGGCAATGCGCTTACCATTCAAAATGGACAGCGGCTTGAAGCTGAGGGTAAAGTTGAGGGCGGTGCGCGCATTGCCGCGCACATAACGACTGGGAAAAGAGAGAATGCCCGCATCGACGCCATGGTTGAGCACCTCAAAGTCATGCTCGATGTTGCTCATGTCAATGCTACGCTCGGGATCCAGGGCAATGAAGCCCTCGAGCCAAATGGGCGCAAAGGTGCGAGTAAAGCTAATGCTGCGAGTGTTTTGGTGGGTGCAGACGCGCATGAATTCTAGCACCACCTGGGGACAGGCCTCCGTGAAGAGCTGAATGGTTAGGCGGCCCATAATGCGGGTGCCAATCACCTCCAAATCCATATAAATCTGAGGACGCAGTAGCTTGCAGAGTACGCCCACGTCACAGATGTTCATCAAATCCTCGTACCGATGGAGCACATGCATCGGCACCTCATAGCTAAATACCTTGGACACCTTGGGTTTGCTGCGTCGCGTTTTGCCCAAGTGCGGATCAAACAGTTTGCCGCCCTGATGAAAGACTTTGTTTTTCTCCTGCTGGTTACGTTCCTTTTCCCGGGCCAAGCTGGTGTTACGCCAGCGGCCGGCGGCCAGGCGATCTGGCGACTTGGTGAATGTGCGCAGCGTATTGTTGCTTTTGCGATATAGAGCAGTGAGCATCTCCATGTAGGATAGCTCCATGCCATTGCCCTCGCTAATCTTCATCTTTGGCGGCGGCAAGCAAGTGTTCACCTTGCCCTTGATATTGGCCAGGCGATCCCGATGCTGACGATACAGATCTCTCTGCTCATTCATTCCCAAATGGGAACGAGACTTGATTCTGGGTAAATGCGACTTGGCTACGGGCGCCGGAATTGCCCGCTGATGGTATTTGTGGTTGTTCTTCAAAGCCGTCACATTGATGTTAAATGTATGACTGTGCATCTTGGAGCTATTGTCCTCAACGTCCGGATTACTATATACGGGATTTGTTAGTGTATAGGGTCCACGCTTTACGGCAGCCACATATGGCGCAACCTTTTGGCCAGCGGCCAACGGCTGCTTCTTCGCCCGCAATTCATTGGTGACATCCTTAATAAACATGTTTCGCACGTATTTTCTTACTCTATCCAAAACGAAAATGTACATATACTAGAATTTTTTCCGGATAACTTGTTGTGGTACTCGAGCTGACTAGAATATGAAAGGGTAACCTAATGAGACATACAAATATAAATTTTCCATAGGCTGCTCGGATCAATTCCGACTTTTTCAATATATTTTTAATTCATGATGTTGTCCTGTAATAAGGGTATTCATTTACTGCTGCTTTAATTAAGGGATGTTTTTAAGTTATGATCAATTGATATTCAATAGCTGTCAGCAAATCTTCCACCAGTTTTTAAATAGTTTCGTGCTTATTGTTCAAATTGAATACAAATACTTCATAAATTTCATATCAAATTAAACAAATAAATAAATAAATTTGTATTATTAGTATTTGTTATAAAATTTGAATTTTCTTTTAGATTTTTATTATAAAATAAATATTTGTGTTTCATTAAAATATAATTCACTTTGATAAACAATAAAAAACAAACTTTTAAATTGGGACAAAAATTATTTATAAATAAATGCCTTAATATTATTTTGAGGTAGATATTACATTATTATTACTTGGATGCACTGTTAATTTGTTTTTGTGGCGAGTTCTGTGTGGCACACACAATATGGCAATCAAATAAAGGATACATAAATGATTGCTGCCAAACTGTAAATTGAACGCAATCATGTGGCAAAACTTTGGTGTCCGATAAAATGGACCAATAAAGAAAATGAAAGCGAAAAACCCGCCCAACCGCCGAACCTGAGGACATTGCCATGGGTATGAATAGATTGTACACCGATAATAAACCAAAGCAGAGTGAGTAAAATAATAAAAAAAACAGACGAAACATAAATACTTCAAATTGGAGTGCTTGCTATGAGATACCCTGTAACCAGATCGAAAACCTCTTTTTTGTGGAGCTCTGAAAAAGTCTATTATATATTTCGTAATAAAAACATTACCCCAGTATTTCACTTAATTTAGTATGTTCGTTTTTTTCAATATTAGAGATCAATAACTTCATGCAGACGAAACGATTTTTGGTCAGGGAATGAGTCATAAATATGTATTATTTCTAATGATATTGCTTTCTCCTATCTATGTATCCAAAATAGAAACAACAATTTCATGCTGCTGTTCTTTACAGGGTATCAAAAGGAAAACATTTAATCAAAGCGAGTGAACCTAAATTGGCAACCACAACTGCATGTAATCTGGATAGCTAGCAGGCGATTCCAGTGCCGGAGGTTAATAATAGCCAAGGCGGTTGTTCGCGTGGCATACTTGATTGAAAAATGCTCAATCAATTGATGGAAATAAATTTATGAACTTTAAAACGATGACCAGAAAGTACAATAATAACTTGCTGTTGCATTCTTTACCAGCCAGCCTGTGTAAACTTTCAAATGTTATAATCATTTTATTTAATATGCTTTAGCAACTCTTGGCCAATTATGCCATAAGCTTTAATGCCATACATTCGGTTCATTTATAGTGGAATATTTTTTTGGCGCGCTTTTAATAATTACTTGAAAATGTTGCTAAATTAACGTTTGCGGCTTACCAAATGATATAAACGTGTTTGCGCATAATTACAGATTTAATTAAAATTTGCATTCTGCAATCAAAACGTTTCCCTGCAATTCTAAAACTTTTTACTGGTATGCAAATTTAAAATGCCAGTTATTTTTAATACCCTAAGTCAATCTGAAAGGTTTTTAGGGTCTATTAAACGGAAAAGAATTGGATACAAAATTGCGTTTTCGTCGTCAGCAAAGTTGACTTAGCTTAAAATATTGGAAAATTGTAAAATTTTAAATTATAATAATAGTTTTATTTTATTCAAAAATATTATTCGAGCATATGTATAAAATCATGTTTCAGCACATTGTTTTTATTTATTTTTTATTGTGATTTGTTGTCTTTGCACGCATAATTAATTGCATAAAATAATATGAAAAGCATCTGGTGGCCGCTCGGGCAATAAAAACTCAATCGATTAACATTAATTGAATGTTAATTCGGTTACGATTTTGCGGTGACAATTAAATGATTAATGGCATTTATTTTTTTCTGGCATAGTGTCACCGCGCGTGCCTATGGCAGGAGCTGAATGATAATGATCTGGAGGACAAGCACTTGTGGTATTTGAATACATACGAGCTTGGAATTGTGCGGCTGCATTAGCGAGTGTGAATAAGATCAAGGACAACGCTTGAGTGCGACATTCGAGCACAGTAAGCACACGCTATCAGCGCCTTATCACTCAACAATCAATGATGACACTGACAAGGACAATAATCGCACGGCAACGGAATGGGGGTGTTAACAGCTGTAGACGGCGAACCACTTAAGCGCTTTTGTTCTCAAGTGCCACACACACAAGCACACACACACACAGTTGCATTGGCTGCACCACCCACGACACTTGAATTCGCCTTCTACGAGTGTGTCATGTGGCACTGCTTAAGTATTGTATTTTTACTAATGCATGTCAGGCTCGTGTTGTTTTTGTTGTTACAGCCCGACTGTTTTGTATATTTGCATGCCACATGCTCATGTTGCAACGTTCAACTTGAAAATGTGTCAACAATGAAGATGCCAACAGCTGAGCGACTGATTCGCAAATGCAATCATCCGGAGTTCAACTGTTGACAATTTAATCAAATATATTTGCGACGTCTTGCACACGCACAATTTCATTTATTTAACCTACAAATTCCAATGTGAAATGTACAGAATTTGAATTTGAAATATGTGGCATGACTTCATGGCAAGTCGATTCGACTTGAATAGCTTTGACAAGCTGTAAAAATGTAAAAAATAAATTTGTATTATGCAAGGCGTTTTTGAACCCTTCTATGTAATTCTTATAGATTCAATTGTCTAGCAAATTCAATGCTTTATAGATTTCCTAATAAAATTGTCGGCGCTGATTAAGAGTCATCGGACTTAAGCTAAAACTTAAAATAAATATTAACACACATTAATATAAAGAGGTTTTTTATTGCGCCTTTTTATGTGATTCGTATTAGCTGCAATCATTGCACGACAGGTTCCTATTCAAACCAAAATTTGCTCCTGATGCCCGCTTTCAATATTTTATTGCCAGGCCATTACTGTGTCTTTGGCGTATTATAAGGCACGATACATTTCACTCGATGCTGCTTTTGGGCGCCCACAAAGTGTTCTCTTCGGCACATATCCAATATGCCACATATATATATTGCTTGACGCACTTAAAGCTTTCTGGGCTTCAATTTTTCTTTTCTCGTCTGTGCGCATTCATTTTATTTGGCATGATTTGATGTCGTCTGAACTTATGTATATGCCATAAAATCATATGGTGGCGCAGCCAAAAATGTGTCTGACCTTGCTGTCCCGCACACACACACTTTCACCAAGTTGTATGCTATTATATTTTCATATTTTTGCGAGTGTTTTTTATGGCGGCTAACAAAATGGAAACAAAAGCCAACAGCCGAAAGTTAAGAGCATAATGGAGCATAAATGCTTTGACTAAATAAATGTGATTTTATGCTCTACGCTTTGACGCGCTCCTGGCCATGTCCGAAACATGTCAGCGCAAACGAATCTCCTGTTCATATTTGTTATTTCCATTTATAAGTGCAGTAAGGTTACTTTATGTTTTTGGATTTTCAGCTTTGGCAGATTCTTCAAGTATCATGCAAATCGCAAACGTTGGCAGTTCAGGTGTGCATTTTCTTGACGATAAATTTAAGCTGTGTTGCAGGTGGTGGGTTAAAAAATATAGTTTGTCTTTTTTTTTTCTTTTACAATATCTGAAGAGGTTTTGTCACAGTCCCATTGAACATAAGTCTTCTGTAGCCATCTTGTTAATTTCAATTACTTGATGAACTATTTAATTACAGCACTCAAATCCTTAGAACCCCTTTACCTATGCGTATTTTATTAGCCCTTAACTACTCCTTTCCTTGCTTTCTCACCATATTGATGCACAAATTGCTGGGCCATAAAGACATCAGTTAATTAATGGCGTTAATGTCCTGACAGCAGCTCTAGATGCTGCTAATTAACCAAATTGACAAATCAAGCCCCAAAAGGACTAAATGCGGCAGCCGACCCAGGATAATATCAGTTAATGGGCGGCTTAATTAACAGCAAGTCAAGGTGTTAACGGCGCTGCTTTCAAGCCACCAAAAATATTAAATCTTATTTTCTATATATCAAGGCAATGTCAACGGCAGCCGGCGGTTGTGGGCCAGTGGAAAGTGGCAGCTGCCACACATTAAATACCATTTCAAAGGCTTGAAAGTTTTTCGTTACCAAATGCAGGTAGGCTGCTTACCTTTTGTGCTGGGGCACTGAAACGAGAGTAAAAAGAAGCCAAAAGGTTAAATATGGCCATGTTAAAGAGATTGGATGAGATATAAAATCTTAAGTATGCGTGTAATCCCGAAACAATTTTATTAGCCAAACCCAAAGATGCCTCTAGGCGGAACGGAAGCCAATTAGGTTAATGCTCTTGTTGGAGCATAAACTTGGCTCTCAGCTAGATGCTCAGCCCCTAAAGCAGATTATATTTATTTTAATAGAAGCACATTTGCGCGTAAGGATATCGGTTATGTACTTAATAACGTATTTTTCAACTTTTCGAAAAAGCGGAAAACAGCCTTTGGCCATTTGCTTTGTTGTTTTTAACATTTACTTTGACAACTTTGTTGCTATTTAAATCAATAGACGAGAATTTTTATCGCAGTGTACTTTTTTTTTAATTTGAGCTTGTTCATAGAAAATAATGGGAATTATGTTTTGTGGAAAAAAATTGGACAACATCTTTTTTTAATTGAACATTTATTAGGAAATTACCACATTGCTTTATTTGTGCTCAGAATTCAAGCGAAGATTAAAACGTTTTTAGAAAAATAATTTTTAAAAGCTATTCACAAGTTTGTGAAACAAGGCTTTACAAATTTCAATGCGCAAGTTTAGATTATGATATAATTATGTATATTATAAACATATGAAGGTAGAAATGGATGAACTTATAATGTTGATGAATATATTGTAACCCCTAAACGCATACCTGAATCCGACGCAACATAAGATTAATT